TTATTATTTCATCAGTTATATCTGAAGTTAAAGAAACAATTCCTCATTGTTTTTAAAAAGTTAAGAGTATAACTAAAGATTTGTATTCTGAATATAATTACTTTGATTGTAATTAAGAACAATGAAACTTGTAATGATATGAAATATGACTGTATTTAATCTGCAATCTAAGTAATTTTTATGACCTTTCTGTTCATTGTTAAAGGCTAAAATAAGAAACCTTTGGCTGTTCTATAGCTAAACTTTCTAACCAGTTAGAAAACTTTTTATAATAACTGGAGTTCATAATATGATTATTGATGTTGACAATCATCTTTGATCTTATTAGCGAATATTTGATTGATAAAGAAGCTAAATTAATAGCAGAGACGTATTTTAAATGCTTTGATCTGTATATAGCATCAACTGCTACAGCGCAGGGATGCTTGAACTCCAGCATTGCAAAAAGATTTTCAAAAGTTGGCAAGTCATTACCTTAGAGAGTCTTAGTCTTTTTCTCTCAGTTTCTTCTGAATCTAAAACATTCGAATCATCTAGTTTAGTGGCTTGTTTAGTAAAAGACCTTTTAACAATATAGTTGTAATGCCTTTCTCACAGAGTAATTTTCTAGAGAATCAAGAAACGCAAATAGTTCAGGCAAATACTTAGCCATTTCCGTTATTATTTTTGCTGCAGCACTGCTCAACGCACGTTGCCATCTTTGGTTCTCTTTAGTCTCGCATCCTACTAATTGACTTTCGTCGAATGAATCTAACAAATTAGGTAAGTCTTTGGGCTCATCGTAGAGTGAGACGTTTGTAAAGTTGCATGGATTTGTGTGGTTTCTGAGGCTATTGTTAGTTTCAATTTTTATTTGAAGTATTCGATCGATAGAGCGTCATCGAACGCCAATCAGATTTTACAAATTTGGGGAAATCCCCCCGACTGGAATTATGAAAGTATGAGTAAAAATCATGTGAACACAAGCATATGCTTATATCGTCCGGACTAAATGCACTAACGAAACGGGAATTTATTATCATCATAAGTTGGAAATCAATTTTTATTTGAACTTTGAATTTTGAATTTAAAATATTCATAATTAACTTATTTACAAAGTTATGAATTCTTTCAAAAAAGTCACACATGCTTTCTTCTATATTCACCAATACCATCCATTACCTCATCCCATTTAACGTTTAATTATGAAAATGGAAAAAAATGTGAACATATTATTTAAATTAAGGGTGTAGCAAATAAAATTATAATAAATAAATAATAAAAAAAGGAATATCACAGACGATTTGCATTTACAATGAGAGCGTATACTATATTAACATCATTTCCACAGAATATTTTCATCAATTTGTTGCAAGTCTGTGAATTGGACGCCCTGAAACGTTGACCAACTATGTGGCCTTATTGACTGCGTACCCAAAACAGGGTGTGGTCCAGCGGTGTAAGGGCGAACCCGATCCATACTCATGGTAACTTGTACGCCATTAAATGGATTCTTAACAGTCTCCTTAGAACCTGGTTCGCGTGGAAATTCGTTGTCACTTGAAGTATTACCAGGCCACCAAGTGTAAGCACTAACAGCAGGGCTGAACTTGACCAGATACTGATCGTCTTGAACATCAATAATACGAGCTGGGAGATAAAGCTGCGATTCTTCGAGGCCATGGTAACGGAAGAGATAGTCTGGGTATATGACGGGTGCTTCAACAAGATCACCAACGTGAAGGCAACGATAAGGCCTGATATCCGAACTCGATACTCCATCCGTCCACGGACACCAACATCTATCAGGATTTTTTTGTTGTGCATATAGTTCGTCTTCTGTGAGATAATAACCATCATATTTTTCAGTATCTTCATCTTTTTCAACGCCTTCTTTTTCAGTTGAGCTCTTTGGGTCAGAAGTCGGAGACCAACCAACATGCTTTACAAATTTACCATTAACCGCCGTAACTTTGACATCATGCCACAACCCGTCCACATTGATCTATATATATGTCATAATGTAGAAATGAATATAATATCTCTAAGATATTGATTAAATTAGGGATGGAAATCGAAACTAATATAAAAATCGACTGTCGAAACTGCCTTATTAGGAGATTATTTATTCCTGATCTTTTGGCATATGAATTTGTGTTGTATTACGATAATAATCAAAGTGATCAATTCCAATTCCAATATCATGTTAAATATAAGTTTTTAAAACTCGACAATCGACTTTCAATTTTAGAATCAACTCCCAGTCCCAATTTGAATAGGAATTTTATATCACGTAAATTCATTAAACAAAATCGCTCACCTGGATCTTCTCACCAACTTTAGGTTCCTGAGTAAAAACCGTCGAGGGCCCCAAAATACAATAATCAAATTCTGGAATATCGGCAAAGTTATCGAGTTGATCATTCTGTATCACACGATCATCAAAGCCGGTTTGCGGCTTTGTCTTAAACACAAGAACATTTTCTCCTGATCCAGCGGTCACAATATATCGTCCACCAAAACAAGCTTTAAGCTCCACGATCAAATGGCTGTCACTCCAAGCATTTAAACCATTTTCCAAGGTTTCCAAGATAGCAATTGAGGTTCCGATACGAAGCCCACCAATTATTCGTACGTTCTTTGAAATAAGTTTTTTCTCGATTTGACCGGTTTGGAGGTAGCGGACATGCACCCAGATGTCATTTTTAGGATAAGTGATGTCTTCAATAAGGTTGTTAAAACGTTGCTGTGCGTTCTTTTCGTATATGAATATGCCAAGTTCCGTCGATGTTGGCACCGAGACGATTTGACAGGCGGACATCCAACCAACGCTGTGGGCAGGACTCTCTATTTCAGAAGGAAGGGAGATATCACCACTTGTTCGCTGGCATTCAACAAAAATACCGTATCCACAGCTATCGAGAACGACTTGCCTCAGTTTTTTGGACAACGAATCATCTCCAAGGAAACTCAAGTAATCATGTGGTTTAATATAGCCTTTATGGAGAGGATCCAATGCTTTTCGCAAGGATGGAATCCAAAGTGGTCGAATGTCTTTGAGATTGCGCGTCCCAGTTGAATTGATGTAATATCTGTTACCATACCGGCGAAAGTCGTCGATGGTACCATTCTTCATGATTGCGGTTGGAATATTCTTTAGCTGAAAGGTTACCTCGAGTTCGTGAACGAACCGAGCCCATGAGACGTACATATTCTACATTCAAAGATCGACATATTTCACATAAGAGTCTGAATTTTCAAAAAGCTATTAGTGAAAATTGTTTACCTCGTATGGAGCAACAGATGATATACTGAGCTCGGCAGACCTGAAACGTTCCTTCCAAAATGAAATCGCCTCGGGATTATCACTTCCTAAGTTTTCAAGAGTAAAGGAATCAGTGGAAAGTGTACAACGTTCGAGCTTTTCTTGAAGCTGTTGACAGTCGCTTTTAAGCCTTGTCACTAATTCATCAATTGTATTGGCAAGGGCCTCTTTCAATTCCGAACTTAGCAAGTTAGTAGTGGTTGTGGTTGTGGTTGTCGAAGTAGTTGTTGAAACGATCGTTGGAGTGGATAAAGTCTGAACATGTTGCATAATACTTAAAGCCTTATCTGTGATGTTAAGATGTCTTTCAACGTCTACAATGGACTTTTGAATGTCGGCTAGGATACTGGGGGCTTTATATATTCCAGCGACTTTCTTGAGCTTGCCAGAGAAAGACTTTTTGTCTTTTATGTCAAGGTCCTCGGCACACTTCATATAAACCTTCTGGGTTCGTTCAAGGGTGTCTTTGATACTAACAATATAGGATTTATTAACATGGGAATAATCAATGTCGGCAAACATATTTTTGAGCATTCCCAAAATGTTCGCCAACTTCAAGAGACTCTCGGCGGCTTCTGAATGCGCTTCTAGTCGCTCAGCGATTTGCTGACCCACTGAAATGACCCTTTCAATAATGCTGACGATGTCGGTCATTGTAGGAAATAACGAGATTTATAAGTTAACTCGAAAGGAACTAGTGAAATTCAAATTCATAAAATTCGTAACTGCGGATTGGTCTGAATAACTATTTTACTATTCTGCGCCATCAACTAAAAAATGTTCCGAATGTTTTATTACACTTTCCTTTGCACAGAAAAAATTTTTAAACTAGGGAACCCGAAACCGTTGCGAGTCCGAAGCGAAATTCACTGTGTAGCAGTCCCAAAATTAAGCCCCCTTTTCTGTACATAATGCTAGCCAAAGTCCTCATAATTTTCTAATATATCAAAAATTGTATATGATTATTTAATATTTATAATAAATTTTTTTTTTTGCATTATACGCCATATAGTTACATTATTAACTCCTATTTAATTATGTTTTGTAGCAATAAATAATAATAGTTTTCTTAAATTGTATTTTTGATTTTATAAATTAATAAAGTGACTGGCAGTGCCACATCGTAAAAAAAAAAAAAAAAAAAAAAAAAAAAAAAAAAAATTTATAAAACTTAGGTCTTTAACACCAAAGTTTTTTATCCTGCAGAATTTATTTTATTTTTTTAAAAAAAATTTACAAACTAAAATGGCGGTATCCATTATTTTTCGTTACCGTTTTTTGTTTAAATCTTTTCGAAAAAAAAAATTATTATAAATACCAAAATTTATTTTATCTTTCGAAAAAAAAAATTATTATAAACACCGACAAAGTTTCAAAATTTATTTTTTTTTTTTTCGATATTAGTTTTTGCTTCGTAAAATAAGCAAAAACAAGTCCATACAGTTATAATGAAATCTCAAATATATTGATTATAAATTCTCCTACATCAAAAGATCTTTAGACCTTTTTATTAACACTCGTTTGCTATTATTCTTAATTGTTTAGACAAGATTTTTGCCCATCCTTTATTAATATAATACGGCAGCTGCCCATGTGAATTAGTTTTGAGGTCTTTCGATGAAAATCATAACTTTTGGGTGGGTTCCGTTGAAATTTGTATTGTCTACATTCTGTTTGGACGTTTCTTTTGTGATAACTAAGTAGCGGCTTTTCGTAAGGTTGGAACGTGAGTTTGGATCATCGGTAGCTCATCAATTTGCTCCAAGACTTTGGATAGAGCATGATCCAATGTTCGGTTAAAATTATACGTAATTGGAGTTCTTCTCAAGGCACAGTGTAGAAGACGTCTTTTGAAAGACGGGGCGTTTTGAAAAGGCTTGACAATTCGCAAGACATTTCACATGTTTTCTTAAAAAAGATAATATATATAATATGATATATGATATTACATATTTTAGTGGACCGTCATGTTAACGAAGTCATTAACTTTATTTGGTTGGTTAGTATTTTAATGTTCTTATATTATCAAGCACAATTCAATTTTTGGTCGGTTCCAATTGGTAAAGAATATATTTTGATTAAGCTGTTTAATTTACTATTAGAGACATTGATGCAAAAGACAAAGTTAAATTCAATCCGGAAAGCTCTTGACGAGATATTATAAGATTGTGCTATTTACTATTTCTGCATTGGGAAAAGTGGTCCAGAATTTAATTATCAGATGAAATTTATGGAGTCGCATCTTATTTATCAATTGATAAAACATACGATTGTATATTGTCATCGCTATGGTCAGCTGCTGGATGATCAGATGTATTTAAAGGTATGTGGGTGAAAACTAAAAGAAAATTTTTAAGAACCTCCAGAGAGATATGTGAATTCTCAACCTTGTTGTTTTATCAATTAAATGTGTTCCGTATAAATATCGAAACAACTATACAATCAACCAACTCGTTCACAAGCCAGCTTATGTTGCTTTGCCTAATAATGATGACAACAATGGAATATTTACGGGTAAATACCAAATTATTTATGAAATTCTGATTTATATGCTAATTCTATTCTAATAATACAGTTATTTGGATAGTAACACCGACTAAAAAGATAAATTATGTGATTTTCACTCTCCGGTGAGATTAAAACTTAAGAATGTTTTGTCTTAACCTATTATTTTGTATTTTGCGTTAAATTTGGATTAATAGCAACTTATATACAGTATAACGATGATAATTTATGGTAAAATTCCAGGAAATAATAACTTTTTTTAAAAAATTAATATTAGTTAATTTTATTTTTTTAGATGATTAATCTTTATTTTGATGGGGAGAGTGGCGGGAAAAAGGAACAAATCGACATTTCATATATTTGAGAGATAAAATGCCACCGGGTTCAAAGGAACGCTTCCAACTCCCAATGCTGCAATTTATGAAACGCCAGGATTTGTGTTTCCCGTGGTAATTCCGAATATTTGGATCATAATAAAACCAGTTTTAGTCCGAATTTAGTCGTACAGAAGTTATAATATATATATATAAAACATGGTGTAGCACAATATTAAAAATTAGGTTTATTTATACAAATGTGTCCTTTAAGTCATGTGATGTAAATTCTTTTATTTATTTATTTTAATTAAATTTTAGGAATTTTCTTAAACATTTATGCAATTAGGATTAGAAGTTTGATTTGTAAGGAATTTCCAAATATTCAATAAATGATGACGGTTATATAAGATTGCGGTGCAAACCCTAATTCCATTTGGCAAAATTCGTCTTTGATGATTTCAATTTCTAAATAAAGTAGCTTCCTTTTCTATGTTTTACGTGGATAAATATTATATAAAAAATAAACATTAAATTAAAATTTCATTACCGTCCATTTTTACTTGGACGTTAACTTTGACAAGTTTCGAACAAATGAATAATTTAAGACGAACCTCAAGGGATTTTCGGATGTATTAAAATATCCAAGGAATTATATTTTGAGGAAGTAATTGAAAATCTCACTACTTTTTGCTTTTAATAAAAAAAAAAATTTGACAAAAACGTCTGATGTTGACATTATACAGATTTTTTGGGGATTTGTACGACATAACTTACTATAACGCATGTTTTTATCAAAAAAAAATCAGTTTTTAATTTATGTAACGACTACCTAAAATACTTAATTTATGATTATGACTGCAAATTTTTCCACGTTTTTAAAGGCAGTTACATCGACCATTTGTGTAGTGTATGACGTAAAAATAAGATGTGTATGATATACAACACACAATTCAAATGTTAATTATATATTTAATAACGTTTGAAATGTATATTTAACATAATTGCCTTTTTAATTAAAGTTCTTTTATGAATAAAAAATTTTATATTAAAAAATTTGCCTAACAAAAAAATACGCTAATACTAAATATTTAAAATTATAAAGTTAAAAAAATGTGTAAACTTTCTGATTAAATATTTTAAATAAAATTGATTATCTTACCGTTACCTTTTATTTTAGCGATATATACTTTAACACTTGCATATAAATCGTCACCTGATAGTGCTATCCAACTGCCAAGACACCCATCATAAAAACTCCATTTGGTCATTTATTACACCATATATTTGAACGAGAAATTTTGTTTTTAATTCTTGGATCGCTTTACTTTCACCTCATCACGTTGTTCACAAAGCAAATCAACCTCATTAATAAAAAATTAATATCAGTCTTAATCTCATAAGCAACTGTGAAAGATTTTCTTGACAGAATATTTTTCAATTGTATTGTTTATATTTCGATATTCCATGATATTAATTCTCCTTAACGTTAACGTTAACATTTTGAAATAAAATTCATGAAAACTATCACTAACGCTATATTGCTATCACTATAATGTTAGTATTTTCAGTTGTAAAACTATAATTTTAAACTATTTTCTTATCAGAAACATTACAATTAAACTCACCACAATATATATAGTCTGCAAAAGTTTTTCTACTTTATAGTAATAGACACATTCATTCTCGCCATAAAAATAATGACGATAAATTTTGAACTTTTTGAAGGAAGATCGTTTTAAGGTTTTGACTGCTACAATATTTATTGTACTATTTATTTTAAAATACAACTTAAGGGTATATTTTTACTTAATAGTGTAGGAATAGTTAATTTGTTACATCTTGTAAAAAATGAAACGAAGTTACGCTTTTTTTGCTTTTTTTCGATTTTTTATATGAAAATTCCTGTAAAATAAGAATAACCAAGTAAATGAGAACATTACTTGATATGGCAGTATTTCAGGAAAAAAAAAAAAAAAAAAATCTTTAAAGAACCTACGTTTGTTAGAATATAATTTCTATTAAAACCCAACCCTTTCGCTTACCTTTACAACTATCTATCTATAATGTAAACATTTAGTAGCTGTTCTTACTGCGCCATTAAAATTTCGATTATCGATCAAATCCCTGCTTATGACGTCAATGTTCACTTTGCTGATTGCCAGGCATCAAAAAATTTTTTCTTTGAAACGACAGAATGGCTTCTCAGGGTAGACAAGCTATTAGCAGATTAAGTGGAATGCTGCCTAAAGGTGGCGGAAAGGGTTTATTTACTGGTATGGGAGCTTTAATAACTTTAGGTGCTGTCGGCCTTGGGATAAATGCCAGTTTATTTAACGGTATTTTAAAATTTCATTTCTCAATTAATATTTGCATTTGTAAAGGATAAAATTGATATTTAATTATGATAAAAATTAAATTTTAAACACTTATTATAATTAAATAATGAACGACTTAAATACAAATTTTGGTAAAACTCTTACAAGTTCATTTATTATAATTTATAGTTGATGGTGGTCATCGCGCGATTAAATATACCAGACTTTTGGGAATTAAAAGAGATATCTATAATGAAGGTACACATTTTATGATTCCATGGCTTGAAACACCAATCATTTATGACGTGAGGGCCAAGCCAAGAAACATTGCATCTTTAACGGGTACAAAAGGTAATTAATCGATATTTAATATGTTTTTATGTGATCAATTAGGAATTTCTAAATCATATTTTACACAGATCTTCAAATGGTCAATATTACGTGCCGTGTTTTGTCTAAACCAAGGGTTGAATCTTTACCTACAATTTATCGAACGCTCGGATCAGACTATGATGAAAGAGTTCTTCCATCCATCGTTAATGAAGTACTTAAATCGGTGGTCGCGCAATTTAACGCTTCACAATTAATCACACAACGTGAACGAGTTTCGCGTCTCGTGAGAGAAAATTTAACACGCCGTGCATTAAGGTTTAATATCATTCTGGATGATGTTTCCATTACGCATGTTGCGTTTTCTCCTGAATTCACACATGCGGTCGAAGCTAAACAAATTGCTCAACAAGAAGCTCAACGTGCATTTTTTGTGGTGGAGCGTGCTAAACAAGAAAAGCAGTCTATTATTATTAGAGCAGAAGGAGAAGCTGTATCGGCGGAGTTGATTGGAGAAGCCGTTAAGAACAAACCTGGATTTATTGAGTTGAGAAAAATTGAAACGGCTAGAGATATTGCCACAATCTTATCTCAATCTCAGAATCGTGTGTTATTAGATTCCGAAGCATTATTATTGAATGTTGCTGATCCATCAAAGTAAGTTTCTACTTCATTTTTCGATAATTTTAAATAATTTTGAATTCATTGTACTTACCTATTTTGTAGGAATAAAAAGGATTCAAATAAAAAGTAAATCCTTTAGGATTTAGGAATTTTCTATCGCAGAAATTTTTTTTTTTGTATCCATAGTATAATATTGACTTGCGAAGAGTAATAATAGAGTCATCGTTTATCATATCATTGTGATTCACGTCTGGAAGAAATCAAAAGAATAAACATTATTTTTACGAAATATGCATTTTAATGCCATTTTGTTCTGTGATATACAATCATAAAATAAATATTTATTTAATGAGTATTTCTAACCAACATTCCCAATGATTTCTAATGTGACGTATATAGATCATATAACTCTCATTAATTAAACATCTATGAATAATAAAAAGAACCTTGTTAGGAAAATATTAACATAAATGGCAATATTTTCTTTATAATTTTTTTACATACATTATAATTATATCCATTTATTCTAAATTAATATCACCTTTTATTTCTCTTAATTCACCTAGCTTAAAAACTCAGCTTCTAACCTGTTTAGAAAATATGCATATAAATTAAAGTTCAACATGAAAATGAAAATAGTACTTATATTTCTTACCAATATGGGTATAGATAGCTAGATAAAAATTAATTTTAACAATATCTGCCAGATTATTATTCAGAATATTATCTGTCTATAATTTTTTGCCAATATTATCATATAAATTTTGATTTATAACTGCCTAATTCTTCACCTACCATAAGCATAATTCTATAAATTATATTTGCAACATACATGAAATGAGTGGTTATCTAAATAACAATACATCCAAACTTCCTTAAATATATTCAAATCTGATTTATATGTAATTTGAATGACATGTGTAAATCCAATTCATAATTCTCCTATAATGGTTAATTTTTAAATCTTGAAAAAAACGCTTTCATAAAGTCTTTGACAGGTATTTAATAAGAAAAAAATAAACTACTATTTTTTTTTTAATATAGCATATTCAAGCAGTTAATAAAATAATTTTTATATCAAGTTCTTTTTGATCATTAACATTAACTATTCTACTTATAGAAATTGTAATATTTAATACTTTATTGCAACCTTTTGATAATAGTTATTTTGTAAAATCATTAATACTACTTTAACTAAAATAGATTTTGATAAATAATAAATCAACACTTCTGTTTTATTTTCATTAATTAAAGTTATAGTTGTCATATGATTATAAGTTAATTAAGAAGGTAATTTTGCTTTAAGGTAAAAATAAAAATCATAGTACAACCAAAATATAATAAAGAGTTATATATTTTTCTTTATAATTATTGTTGTTTTTTACACTAAAAATGAAATTGATCCAATCAATTTATTCCTAATCAAATATATAGTTCTATTAATATCTTCTATTACTATAAGATTTACTATTCAAAGTGGATGCTCATATAAATAAAGATCAAATCTCACTATTTTTTTTCAAATTATCAACTTCTTAGAATAAATTTATTTTATTACTATCAAAAAGTTCATTAGCGTTCATTATTCATTTTAAGAATAATTAAAAGGAATTTAAACTTGTATATATCTGTTAATATAATATGTATAAAAGGACCTAAATAAAACTTTATATCATCTTTAACTTTTCTTGTCTATAAAATAGAATAGCAAATAAATTAAGAAAAAATAAGTGACTATGTATGATAATTTATTTATAAATCTTACAGATTTATCATTACTTTCTTTAGGAACTAGCTTTTTGATACTTTAATTTGTATCTGTCATTATTCTAATATGTAATCTTTAATTCTAGATAATACTTTGTTGCATTTTCTATGTAGAAAGTTATTGCGGTTATTTTTATGATAATAGTTAAAATATTAGATATTAAGATAATTATCTATTAATTAATATATATATATTTATAATATAAAAAAGTATTGAAATTCAATAATCAAGAAATTTCATCAAATATATAAGTATTCTATTAGAATCCAAATCAGTATAGTATTTTCATATAGTTACAATTAGAATGTTAAAATTTTCTTTAAAATTATTCTTTACTTTTTTCAACTTCATTTCAAAATTTTTTATTATTATTCTATAACTAACATTATATTAAATTAGAAAAATAATAGTTTTAAATAATTATTATATATAAATATACTTATTATTTGCATTTTTCAAAATTTAATAAAATTATAATTATTGCTTTTGTATTTCTTAAACATTCATATAGAAATACTAATCCAAAGTAAAAAGTAAAACTACTTATCTGTATTTTTTACATTCATATAACTCTTTAAGAAAGTCATTAGATTTAGATATTTTTAAAGAAAGGCCTGATAATTCATTTGACTAAAAATAGAATAATATTTAATAATTCAATTTTAAAAGCTCTTTAACAGTTCAGCTTTTTTTTTATTTAAAACTTTATATAAGCTATATAATTGTAATATGCATTTACATTTTTAATTTTAAATTGAATTTTTTTATGTAAATAATCTACATAATTTCTAGAATTTTAAAAAGTTATTTTGAATATCTTTTTCTAATTAATAATATTATTTTCTTTAAGTTTCTTTATTGTATTACCATTTTATCTATATTATCACAATAAATTTTTAATTTAAAGTTTAAAGTAAGATATAGTTGACTTATTGTTATATTATTTAAAATCTAATAAATAAAATTTATTCAAGTAAAAAATGGATTTCTTTCAAATTTACTTCAAATAATTGTCTCTTCTTATTGCTTTCTGAAAAATAATAATTAGTGAAATAATAAAAAATAAAATATAAGTAATAATTAATATATAATATCAAAATATTAAAATATATATAAAGTAGTTTATTATTCGTCATTAATTTTTATCAAAAAAATAATTTTTTTAAAAAACAAATTTTATAACTTCAAATTTTTTTTTACAAGTAATAAATTTAAAATATTAGTTTTCTTTATATATATTTATTTTTAAAATATATGTATTTTTAAGCTATATAGTCTTAATAAATTTTATAAAATATTTAATAAAAACAAACAATTATTTCATTTAAAATTCTTATTTTTTTTTTGAGATTCTAATGACAAAATAATAATAATAATATCAGCAATAAAAATAAGCAAAAAATAGACTTATTTTATTCATAAAACTGTAAAATTTTAACTTAATTATAACATTCTAATTTAACTTTTTTCTGATTCACTTCATAGTTTCTTTATTAAATGTATTTTTATCATCATCTATTATATTTTTTTTACTTTTACTTAGAATTTTGAATCAGATCAGATTGACCTGTTTACCTGATCTAATCTGACCTAAAAATTCAGATCAGATCAGTAGATTTTCAAATTAACATTAGGTCAGATCAACAGATAGATCTGATTTAATTTGACCTGATAAAATTCAGGTCAACTAATCATTATTCTTGAACAATAGTTTCATTATTCAATTAAAATAATTCTCTCAGTTCAGGTAACTTGATTGATCTGATCTGAACTAACCTGTTTGAAGCTCTATTTTTATTATTTAAACTTTAACAAAAAAGTATTTTTCAATTCTTCTAAGGTAGATAATATAGTATTATTTTACTATTATTATTAAAACATATATCATATTTTTCATTTACTATAACAATCCTCATATATAAAAAAAAAGATTAATACAATCATTATTAAAGAAGAGAAATAAATATATAATTATAAAAAAAAGAATTTATGTAAATATTTTGATTTATCAAAATTAAGCATATTGTCTTGTGATTACATAATAAAAATAATATGTTATTTTTTTATTTATAATGATAAACAATACTCTAAACATTTTTTCTTTTAAATAAATTTATATTAAATATGAAAATACTTACTCCTAAAACTCATGTATTATTGATTACAGTTAAAGATAGTCACCGCAATTAAAAAAAATGGCGCAATTGAGTTGCAACTTGTGGCGCAATTAAATTTCCTTATAGCACAATTAAGTTGCAACTCAATTGAAATTTGAAAATAATTATGGGACCATCTTTAATTACAGTTATAAATGTAAACAGTTAGGTTATACTATAGCTAAATAGCTAGGATACAATAAAATAACTATTTATAGTATTTTTAAAATGTCTTTACAAAACTGGTTTTTTAATATTAACTCAATAACTATTTAGTATTAAAGTACTTAAAGGTATATAAAAGATATTTAAAAAGATATTTCTCTAAAAAATTACAAAAAACTGATTGATAACATATTATAAGAATTATAATAGTTATTACTATAAATATAAATAGAATTAATATTAAATATTTTTATAATCAATAAATAAATATATATTTGAATTTATATTTGTTAAAATTTTATTTTTATTATATTATGTGTATATAATTCTTGATTTTTAAAAATGTTCACATAATTTTAATTATTGACTATATAATAAAATAATAAAATAAAATAAAATAAATTATTTAATATGATTTTTAAATTATAGTTTCTGATTGACTCATATATATAGTATATTATATAATATTTATATAATTTATAAAATTAAAAAATCTTATTTTTTATAAATCGATTCATTTTTTACAAATATAAATCAATTTATAATTTGATTAAAATCTAATTAAAAAATTAAATTTTATTAATACTTCTTTAAGTTTCTATTATAAAAATTTCACATTATATTAATTAATAAATTTTATAAATTTTAAATAATATTATATTTTTATATCAATATACAAAAATAATAAAATAAAAATTAAGTATTTTTAATAAAATTAATAAAAGTAATTATTTTGAATCAAGGCATTTATCCTTTTATAACTAATTATTAAATAAGAAAAAAAATTATATTGATTAAATTTATTAATTAAGTTATGTATATATAGTTTTTAATGAAACAAATGATGATGAAGATAGTATATATTATTTTAAATATTGTGATAAGATATTATAATATAATTGATCTATATAATACAATATTTATATAAATGATATAGTTAATATTATTAATATAGCAGATGTATTTAATATATATAATATAAAGATTACAAATCAATATTTCAAACATATCTAATATATTTATTATATTTGATATAACATA